TCCCTCCCTTCCTTCCTTCCTTCCTTCCTTCCTTCCTTCCTTCCTTCCTTCCTTCCTTTCCTCCTCCATCATCATCTTCTTCATCTTCATCATCGGGGAGGAAAGGCAATAATACTCAATTTCACAAAGCCTTTCCTGGGCTTGATTTTTATAAATTAGACAGTTATTTCCCCCTATAACTACATCTTTTCCTTGGTTTTCTACAGAGTAAAGAAAGCCAATTCCAGGAACCTAGAAACACAGACTGTTTCTTCTTTGTTATAGGGCACTTGACAGTTTTCTATCTCTGTACTTTTACTTACTCTTCAGGTGATCTCTCCTTTCTGCTTGGCGGTGACGTTCAGTTTATCTTAAGGAACAGGAAAGCCAGTGTGATGTTGCTGCTTTGCAGATTGGAGCTGGCTAGGCCATTACTGAGCGCATTCCTCTCCTGCTCCCTATGTCTGCTTTCAGAGAAGACACCATCTATGGGATAAGTGGACTTTGTTCGTGTATGTATTGGTTAATTAGTTCACTCAGTTATGCACTCAGCATTTACTGAGTTTTCTGAGATCAGGGGCCACATTTTATTCCTTCTGTACTAGACACAGATCCAGCCACTCAGAAGATACCAGGGTGTTTGGAAAGATGAATGGAAGAATAGAGCAAACTAGTAAAAGTCTGTTGGACTCGAAATCTCTGCAGAAGTTTCTCAGGCATGCAGGTGTCTGGCCTCACCTGCTGCTGAAGACAAGGATGATTCCAAGAGGTCTGAGAGGTACATGGGAGACCAGGCACCCTTTGGAGATGATGAGATAGTGTTTTTAACTAAGTGGAGTGGGAAAGGACTTGAGATCTGGTGAGGCCAAAGTAGAATCCTCGACTGTTAAGAATGTGTAGTGTGGTGAGTAGTGAGAAGGCAGATCTGGGCCAGAGAAGAGCAGTCGAGTAGAATCCTCGACTGTTAAGAATGTGTAGTGTGGTGAGTAGTGAGAAGGCAGATCTGGGCCAGGGAAGAGCAGTCGCGGTTGTCTGGTGGAGAGCACTACGAAGGCACTCCTGGTGCACCTGTGAACAGAGGCATGGGAGGCACCGTGAGGAGAGCTGGGAGGTGTCGGAGCAGAGAGCCTTTAAAATGGCAGTGAAGGACTTGAATAGGTTATTTCTGTAAAGAAGACCTGGAAATGGCCAGTAAGCACATGGATGATGATAAGCATGTCGCGACAGCTGTGAGCACGAAGACAGGAAGTGAGTGCTGATGAGGGTGTGAGAAACAGAACCTCGTGCACTGCCGGTGGGACCGTAAATGGGCGCACACTGTGGAAACAGTACGGTGATCACTCAGCAGTAATGAAGTGTGCAGTACCACGGATTCCAGAAATCGCGCTTCTGGGAATATGCCCCAAAGAAGCGAAGGAGTCTGCATGTTTGTCTACCCATGTTCACGGTAACCCTGCTCACAAGAGACCGAAGTGCCCGTTGACGGATGAACGGATAAATAAAATGTGGTATATTTATACAATGGAGCATTATTTGGCCTTGAAAGGGGGGGGAGATTCTGACATATGCTCCACGTGAGTGAACCGGGAGACAGGCTGAGTGAGCTGTACCAGGCCCACACGCGCTATGGGGCACCGCTGGTGCGAGTGAGGCTCCGAGAGCCATCTGAGGCACAGGCCAGGAAGCAGAAAGGTTGCCAGGTGCCGGGGAGGAGGAGGGGCCCAGAGGTTCAGTTTGGAGAGATGAAGAGGTGGGGATGGATGGTGGCCATGGCTCATCAGAGAACTAAACCACGAACAACTCAAGTGGTAACGTTTAAGCGATGCATGACTGACCACAGTAAGAAAGAAAGAGAAGAAACGAGGCGCCAGCCAGTGTTGTGGAGGGTAAGCTGGCTGGATCCTACGTGGCTGACTCCGTGGTTCAGCTCTCTGAGGACCTTGCGGCTTGAACATCACGCCAAGTGCGCGTGCGTGCACACCCCAAATTCCCAGTAGGATGGAGGAGAAGAGACTGTCTCTCAGCCATCCCCTGGGGAGGGGTGGTTTCTCCCTTTTTCTCTCTCTTTGGTAAACACATGTGCCCTCTAGCAAACTTTAAAAATGAAAGAGAGAAAAAGGAGGAAAGGAAGAAAGAGGACTGAAACCCATCACCTGTTCTAGGCTCCCTTTCCTCGGGATCAGATGAGTACGTTGCAGAGGGAGAAAGGGGCGTGCTTAGTGAGTGAGCTTGTGCTGCTACTACGCTTTCTCACTGAGCTCTCACCAAAGTCCAGTGAGATAAGGATGAAGCATCGTCCCATTGACCAGCTGAGAAGCTGAGGCTGAGAATGGCGAGACCAGGTGCCCGGCACACACACAGCCAGCATGGCAGGCCTGCCAACACCCAGCTCCCTAACACCTCCGCCGGCCCGGGCTACAGGCGGCCCCGGGCTCCGTAGCTGGCCCCTGGAGGGAAGCCTTTCTCCCTGGCATGTCCTCTCTATGATGCCGTAAACACGCGGGCAGTTTCATTTTTAAATAATTCTGTAGTTGTGGCCGCCTCTCCGTCGGGAAGAAAAGGCTGACGGAGACAATAGCTGAGGGCTGGTGCATCTGGCTGTGGAGGTGCACTGAGCTGTGATTCTCGAGGCCGAGGGCGGAGCCGCTTCCTAGGCTTGTGGAAAGATGGCTCTCCTAGCTCTTTCTGGGTGAGAGGGAATGCTTGCATGTGCTGCTCAGACGGCTTTAAGGCCGTCAGTAGGCTCTGTCCCTGCGAGACACCCGTCGCTCTCACTGCCAGTCTAACACGGCCGTCAGTGACCAGATGAGTGCTCTGGGCACCCTCCCAGACCTTGCCCTCCTTGCAGTCGCGTGACGCTGTGCTTTCACTCTCTCCTTGGCTTGTGGTCCCAGTGTCCTGCCTACGAGATCGTCGCCTAGTGAGGTTGCACAGACTGACTCCTGTGTTCTCACCTTAGAATCTATGCGCGAATTTAGTACACGGAGGGCCTTACGGTAATTACTAATGCCAGGCTTCCCAGCCACATGTGAGCTCTGCTGCGTAGTCTCCTTTTAACCTTAAAAGAAGTATAGCAACTGCTTAGTGCTCAGGCCTACAGACAGAGCGAGCCAGACTTCACCCCGGGCCATGGTGTGCTGACACCTGTTCCAGGACCTTACCGTGGGCATCGCTGTAGAGGAGAAGTGAGCTGGGGCTGGGTTTCTCGTTGTAGTGGTTACAGCACAGGAGGCCCAGAGGCTCCCGGTTCCTTGGGCATGGCCTCGTGCTGGGCTGCTGAGATGGGAAGGCAGGGTGTGGGTGGGGCTGGATGGGAGGCAGGGGACCTGGCCTGTCCCTCGCCTTTGTTATGATGGAGGCCAGCCTCATTCCATGCCTGTCCCACTAGGGAGGCCCGGGGTAGGTGGGAGCTGCCCTTCTGTCTGGGTGCGGGGCTCTTTGCTGTGGTGCCCCCCACCTTGGCCTTGTCGATTTGTTGCTTTGCACTGGGCCCTTCCTGCCTGTTGGTGAGGCGGAGGCGCCTAACTGAGGCCTGCAGCTGGTGAGACGGTGCCACGCCGCCCCTTTCGGAAGGACCTCACTCACCCCATGCCCGCATCCTTGGGCGGTTAAGAAGTATCATGGTGTGGAGTTTATCTGCTGTCGCTCTCTGGCTCCCGGGGGGCCACGCTGGACCTCCTTGTGGACCTGCCCCGCCCTGCCAACCTGACCTATGTAGAGTAGTGCACATGGAAATGTGTTTTCTGCTCCCAAATGCTGTACCCAACCACAGAGTAAGTTTTGGTACCCCTTTCCACTTGCAGGTCCAGGCTGAGAATTGTCGCATAGGCATCCGGGCATGTGAGGGAAGATGGTGCTGGAGCCAGGTGGCGGCCCCTCACTCCTAAGTAGGGAGGAGGAGGACGCCGTGGCAGTGCTAACACACCGTTTGCTTCTTACATCTCTGTAGACACTGGAAGCTGTCCTGAACTTCAAGTATTCTGGAGGCCCGGGCCACGCCGAAGGCTATTACAGGAGCCTGTCCCTGGGGCTGCAGGTGGAAGTTGAGCCGTCCGTCTTTTTCACCAGAGTCAGCACGCTCCCGGCGACCAGGTGAGTGTGCCGCTCGCTCAGAGCCTTGGTGCTGCCCTCGATCCTGCCCTATGTCAGGTGCCTTGTGCTAAGTTCCTGGCCTCTCTGACATGGAGGCTCATCCCTAGAAAACTGGACGTCACCTAGGCATGGCCTCTGCAGTGGTTCTCGTGGTGGACCCCTGTCCAGCACAACGCAGTACCATCGCTGACTGCAGCCTGCCCACCTGCCTGCGGGTCTCACCCGCACACACGTCTCCAGTATGATGCTTTTGAGCCTGGTCAGAAATCCACGTGTTCTGGGGACTCCTGAGAGAGCCCGTGTCCCTTCCTGTATCACTCCCAGCATCCCCGGGGACAGGCACTTTCCAGCCGGGCACATCTCGGGCCTCTTAGCTGCTGCAGCACCGGTCGCTCTGCCCAGGGAGTGCAACTTGTGCTGATTTGCTTTCAGCCAACACTTCTTTCACGGAGAAAGAAACTGGGCAGTCTGCCCACTCCAAAACCAGAGGCCCTAGGGGATTCTTCCCTGAGGTGGGAGAATGACCATTTCTTACTCTGAGCTCTGACTATGTGATGTGGCACCACTGGGCCTGAGCGTGCTGGGGGAGCCCAGCCAACTGGAGAGGCTCTGCAGCCCCACTTCCAGCCCCCAGTGCTGACCAGCCTTGGGGAGGCAGGGCTGATCACACGCAGCTCTTCTAGGGCTCCGAGCAGGGCACCTGGCACTCGGGGCAGGGCAGCTGCTTAGTGCCGTTCATTCTTTGCGGAGTTCTGGCAGCCGAGATGTTTAACGCCTGTCTATCCTGGACCGTGGGGCGGGGGTGTGTGTGGCATCCACTCCCTGCCACCACTCGGCCCTGTAGTCCACAGCAGGAAGCAGGCAGGTGGTGTGCGTGTTAGTGTCACCGAGGAAACCCCTCCAGAGTGGTACGGCTTCAGTACTCAGCGTGGCTTTGGTGTGGAAGAGACTGTTTTCCTTCCCAGCCATTGGAGAATGGCTTCAGCAGGGATGAATGGGCCAGCCGGGCCCTTC